GTTCACCTACGCGTCGGAAAGTTTCCCCCTCTCACACCGCGAAGCCGGCGCTGCGTTCGCCATCGCGGTCAACCTCGGCTTTGCGGGCCTCTTGTCCATCTTCTTCCCGAGCATCAACTCAGGGCTGGACGATGACGGTGCGCTTTACCTGTTTGCGGGGCTCAATATAGTTGCGTTGGTTCTGGTGTTTCTGCTGTTGGAGGAGACCAAGCGACGAAGCCTTGAGGACTTGGACTTGGTGTTTGCGGTATCGAAGCACAAATTCATGCGGCACCAGGTCGCCGAGTACCTGCCGTGGTTCATCAAGCATTACTTCCTCAGGAGGCATGACATCAAGCCGAGCTTGTACACCGATCTGATATGGGGCTCTCCTGAGCCGAGTCCTGGGGGAGGGACGTTCGGGGTTGGGCAGAGGTATAGCAGTGATAGCGACAGAAGCAGTATTCATGCTTGAGATGGGAGCAGATAGTTTGACTGAATGTAAACAATTATTCACTGTAACCGTCTAATGTCCGGAATGGCCGGTGATTATGCGGCGATTTGAGTTTATCCTCCGGACCCAGAGTTCGTCCGCACTGCAATTGCGATTAAGCTTACGACGATGCTGTTTCACTGAGCAACGCCCCCCCGAGGATTAAGCGGCGCATTGAGGAAAGCGACTCAGCGGGTAATCTTCTAGGTAAACTTGTGGTTCACTCCACCAGGTTTCGGTGGCGTGGTGTCTCGTCACCGACTCACCGCTCCACGTCCATTGCGAAGTCCAAGCTCGACGGCGACGTGCTCCTAGCCCCGGGGCGAACGGCCGCTGTCTCCGCGATTTTGGCGGCGTCGACCCGGAGTTCAAGCGGGATTCGACGCTACGGGCCCCGCCATACCCGCTGAAAGCCTTGGGTGCCGACGCTAATTGGCTCCAGGGTCGGTTCTGGAACACGAAAACGAGCGAGTGTGGCCGGTGCAAGTCACGCTGGCCTTCTTCAGACAGTTGATGAGGTGTTGGAGCAGGTGTCGTGGCTGGCCGCGGTTGCTTTGTTAATGATTTCTAGAATTCGTGTTTATAAAAACTGTATTACTGTCCCAAACTCCAAGTTTTCATGACTGAAATATTTTATCTTGTTCCGTTACTCATCGATTAACGGTTACTTTCTTGGTCAAGAGCACTGGGTGCCAACGTCGTCAGAAGACCCTTCCCGTCCAAATTAGCGCTTGGCGGTCGCTAAAGCGTCGCACTGGCGTGATAAGGCACCCTGTCGCGGTCCACTAATCACGGCCCCCCCATCAGGACGTCATCGAACCGTCCCAATTTCAATCTCGGACCTTTAGCATCCCGTCCGCCGCGGCTCTGGACTCGACCTCGCACCTATCGTCCCTCGTGCTCTCCTATCTGGACCTCTTTTTCTGCCAAGCAGCAGACCGCACAAGCTCTCGACACCGCATTACCCGGGCGCTGTCAAGAGCCGATTATCACACTGCCCAACGAAACCATTTCGAAGAAAGCCCGTCGTCATGTCTTCGTTGCGATTGACCATCGAGGACGGTCAGTTCCGGGACGGCTACGGCAGACAGGTCGTCCTCCGGGGTCTCAACGTCGCCGCCGACGCCAAGCTGCCCAGCGAGCCAGACCAGCCCTCGCACATCGGCGAGGACTTCTTCGACGGCGACAACGTCAAGTTCCACAACAGGCCCTTCCCCAAGGAGGAGGCGCACGAGCACTTCTCCAGGATAAAGCGATACGGCTACAACACCATCCGTTATGTCTTCACATGGGAGGCCATCGAGGCCGCCGGCCCCGGACGCTACGACGAGGAATGGATCCAGCACACGATTGAGATTCTGAGGATAGCCAAAGAGTACGGTTTCTATGTCTTTATGGATCCCCACCAGGACGTGGTATGTCTCCTCTGCTCCCCGGCTACCCGCTCCCGCCGCATACTGACATCTTGAAGTGGTCCAGGTTCTGTGGAGGCTCCGGCGCGCCCATGTGGACGATCTACGCTTGCGGCCTCAACCCCCAAAGTTTCGCAGCGACCGAAGCGGCCATCGTACATAACACCTACCCGAAGCCAGACGAGTTCCCCAAGATGATCTGGTCGACGAACTACTGGCGCCTGGCCGCCGCCACTATTTTCACCATGTACTTTGGCGGCAGGGACTTTGCACCCAAGTGCATTATCAACGGTATCAACATTCAAGACTTCTTGCAGGGCCACTTTGTCGCTGCCTGTGCGCACCTCGCCAAGCGTATACACGAGGCCGGCGATCTCGAGAACGAGGTGGTCGTGGGTTGGGAGAGCATGAACGAACCTGGGTGTGGCCTGGTGGGCTACGCCGACGTCAGCGTCATTCCCAGCGCACAGAAACTGAAAAAGGGCTCGTGTCCGACCATTTGGCAGACTATTTTGACGGGCTCTGGTCGTGCCTGCGAAGTGGAAACTTGGGACATGGGTGGCATGGGCCCGTACAAGGTCGGCCGCTCGCTGATCGACCCCCACGGCGAGATTGCGTGGCTACCCGCGGACTACGACGACTCGAGGTACGGATGGAAGCGTGACGAGGGGTGGAAGTTGGGAGAGTGCATCTGGGCCCAGCATGGTATCTGGGACCCCAAGACGGACACACTACTCAAGAAGGATTACTTTGCGAAAAACCCGAACACCGGAAAGACGATCGACCACCCGGAGTTTACTAACACCTATTTCATGCACTCTTATCGTCTCTACAGAGACGCTATCCGCCCTATTCACAAGAACTGCATCATGCTAATGCAGTATCCTACACTGGAGTTGCCGCCACAGATCAAGGGCACCGAGGACGACGACCCGTTGATGGGCTTCGCGCCACATTGGTACGACGGTATTACCCTGATGACGAAGCGATGGAACAGAGTTTGGAACGTTGACGTCGTGGGCGTGCTACGCGGGAGGTACTGGCACGAGGCGCTATCGGTCAAGGTCGGAGAGACTGCTATTCGCAACTGCTTCAAGGACCAGCTAGCATCGCTGCGCCAGGAGGGAATTGACCGCATGGGCAAGCATCCTTGTGTTATGACTGAGTTCGGCATTCCTTACGATATGGGTGACAAAAAGGCATACAAGACGGGAGATTATACGGATCAATCACTAGCTTTGGACGCGAACTACTTTGGAGCCGAAGGGTCGGGCATGGAGGGCCACTGTTTGTGGGTCTACGTTGCAAAGGTACGCAGTTCACCTTTTTGACCCTGACGGCTCAACTAACTCTCATCCCAGAACACACATCAACACGGCGATTTATGGAACGGTGAAGACCTGTCAGTATTCTCATTAGACGACAAGACGCTGCCCATGTCGCCCCTCCCCCGAAGCCCGGACCCCAGACAGTCGGCAGACAACCCCCGTACCTCCATCAGCAGAGACGTGCCAGACGAGACAAAGGTCACTCCCGATAACCTCCAGAGGACAATCACAAACCCGTCCATCTCGACAGAGCCAACCAAAGACCCTACCATCACCAACGCGCCAGGCCTCCGCGCCGCCGAAGCCTTCGTCCGCCCCAGCCCCGTCGTGGTCTCAGGCGACGTGCTGCAGTACGGCTTCGACCTGCGCAGCTGCACCTTCAACCTCAAACTCAAGGCCGCCGCGCCACCCTCAGACCCCGCCCCGACGGTCGTCTTCCTCCCCGAGTTCCACTTCCCGCAAGACAACTGCCAAGTCGAGGTGTCGTCCGGCAAGTGGGCCATCAGCATGGACGACGACGAGGGCCCGCTCGTGCAGAAGCTGAAATGGTGGCACGGCGACGGCGAGCAGACGCTCAAAGTCAGCGGTCTGGTGAGACAGCACAACGTCGCGGAGGGGTCCGAGGAGGATATGGGCTACCTCGAGCAGTGCCAGAAGAACTACGCCAACTGCAGCGTGATGTAAACGAGATTCAAGACTGGGGGTTAGCAGGCATGTTTTAATGGGAAAGAGGGGGACTGCGGCTTTTTGTTTTTCTGTTGCATTATGACTTATCAGACGGCGCACCCACAACACCGACGTGTGCCGAGCTGGGTCCTCGAGGGGCTAACTACTCAACAATGCCTACATCTAATCCAACTTCCGTGACCACTGAAAACAATCTGTGTGTGTATGTGTCATCCATTACTAACATCTTCCGTCTCTGATCTCTCCTTTTGTTTGTACCTGTCCAAATCCATGTGCCAAACAGTATCTTCCTCTGAAACCTCCCCGGCTATGAGACGGCAGGGGAATAGACGTGGTCTAAATGAACTGTTAGTAATCAAAACCACGACCACAATAGATCCAACATCCATACCGACCAAAACGATGTATGCGCGTGCCTCGCTAGTTTGCCTCGGCGTTCAACGTCTTCTCGCCCAGGGAGGCGGAAGTTCATCCTCGGAACTTGTCTCATCGTCAGATGGTGGTAACTTGGGCGAGTTTTCCTGGCCCGCGGGCTGTGCGGATGAGGACACGGTACTCATCTGGCTTGGAGAAGCGAATCTCTGCCTAAGGGGCAGGGACGGGCTGGCGGGGGCCGGTCCACGTAGGAGGTGCATCTCTGAATACAAGGGGGACTGAGGAGCGCGTGAGGAGGTCGGGCGGTTCGTCACCGGAGCCAGAGACGAGCCTGAGGGGTCCGGGCGTTTCGTAATCGAAGCCAGCTGGGCCTGAGGGGAGCCTGAAGAGGTCGGGCGGCTAGTCGGGTCTGAAGGAGAAATACTGGCATCCATAGACAAGGGTCGATGCTGACGCCGGGTTGCTGGAGATCCTCCTGAACCTGGACAGTCCACGGCAGGTATGGGACGTTCAACTTGTTGCTCCTCAAGTCGAGAGAGATGGTCGAGGGGTTCCCGATCCATGTGTCTGCTATACACACGAGTCGGGGGGGGGACGATTCTCAATGCCGGCCGGCGTAGCACAACGAGTGGTGCTGGCACGGGACGGGTTGTGGTGGGAGGAATCGGCGCGAATGATAAAGGTCGATACCTGACGCTTGCGGGCTTTGGCTTCCTGACGCTTGCGCTATTTGGTTTCCCGACGCTCGCGGACTTTCCTTCGGAGCCACAGTTTGTGAATGCCCTCCGCGATGGCCTTCTCTCTCTCCTCCTGACGACCGTCCGAACTTACATCTCCGTTTTCGCGCACAAATCGAATGATGTTGGAAGCAGCGCCGGTCTGCACATCCTTCTCTATCTTCTCGATAAGGTCCAAGGTCGCGAAGGTAGAGTATTGCTTGTAGTCGCGTTTCCACGGCTTCCCCTGCCTGAACAAGGGCTCCAAGACGCTCTTCGCTTCAACGTGAGGCCCAAAAACATTCTCTTTGCACAGCCACTCGTCGAACTTCTCCTCGTTGAAACCCGGATGCTGGCGCTGAGTTGGAGGCCACCAGCCTTCGAGTGTGTCCAGAGCTTCGATGCTGCACCTCTCGATAGGGTGAGGAGGATAAGGAAGCTTCTGGAGACAGTGAGTGTCGCCTTCGGCTTCGGCGTACTTGGTCAGAGACCAGACTTCGGTGTAGCTATGGTCGAGAAGGACAACTCGAGGCTCCTCCAAGGTAACAAGGCCGTTTCGCATAGTAACGAAGAGGTTCCACGGCTCGCATTCAGTATGCTGCACACCTAAGTGCATGCCGACCACAACGCCGTGAAGCATCTCCTTCACGACATACTGTCGCTTCTCCACGTCGAACGTAACGTTTAACCAGGAGCCGTCGTGGTTAGGAAAGCCCACAGGCAGGGTACCGGGGTAGAGAGCGCTGCAATAGTCGCCGTCGCGGTCACGCAGACACAGATTCTCAACAGAATAGCCGTGGATGTATTCGATGAGAATGAGACCGACGTATCTGAACTTCGGCTGGTTGTTTTCATCGCTCCCGCTATGAATCTTGATGACCCAGCTGCCATAGAACTGCGGCATGATGTGTGGATACCCGGTTTTGCTGTTCCGACGATAGTAAGCATAGACAGCGTGCTCGCGACAGTGGTTTCCGTCAGCCTCCTCATCGTTGCCCCAGGGGCCTCCAAAGTCGCTTTCATAGTAGTCATAGTCGAAAACCTCGGCTGCAAGTTGCCCGGGCAGAACCTCTCCGTTCTCGTCTCTCGAGGGTGGAAGTGGCTTCTGGAGGGCAGCGGGCCGTTCTTCCTCTGGAGCCTTGATGACCGAGCAGCGGAAGATTTGGGATGTTCGATTGACACCTCGACGGATGATTTCCTGGATCTCGATCTCGACCTGGGTCTTTGTGAAGTCGCCCTTGGTGTTGAAGTCACGAATATGACCATATGGAAGGTCCCGAGGAAGAGGGTTCCGATGGTACTCTCCCGAACCATGCGGGCGGGTGGGCTCGTACGGATACAGGGTCATTGATTTACCCTCCCAGTATACCTTATCAGGCTTGGACCAGGTTGAAGTAAACATGGTGAGCGATGAGGTGCGATGGTTGGTTCCGCGGAAGTGTGATGAGATGAACGTGAGAGTGGAGGCAGGAGAGGCGATGGGTGTGGTTTGAAGGTCAAAGTACACCCGAGCCTCAGGAAGCCGAGGAGCGCAATGGTATCATTAAGACTGAGAAGAGATGTTTATCAGGGTGGTCTGTGGAAAGGGATAGAAAAGACCGGCAAGACCTTGGGAAGCTGCCCATTTGATGTGGTGGTGGAAGCGAGGTGGCAGGCGCGAGGACATGGCCACACACATCCAGACTCTTCGTGCAACCTGGCGTAAGGTGGGTAGGTAGGTTACACATAAAGGTGCTTGCCAGGATAGATCCATGGGGTAAGTAGGTTGATCGGATTGGATTGGCAGCCATCTAATAGCTTGCCAGTCGACGAACACCGCAAAGTCAATACCTACCCAATGCGCCATGGCCACTGTTTTTCACTCGCGTTTCGACTTGCCAAAGCCAACCACAGGCCATTCACTTTATGCTGACTGCCTGCAGGAAGGCAGACAAGACTGCTAGCTATCTCAATAGAAACCGCCTACTTTTCCTGTGTCTAGGCGGCTTCATTTCCTTTGCACTTGGTGACTTTTATGAGGACATGGAGGAGGAACGACGACGAGGATGAGAGATGACGACGGCGACGAGGGACGACGACGACGAGGGACGACGAGGAGGGATGATAGCGATGGACGACGACAACGACGATAAAGTAACAATAATATTATTAATAATAGTAACTAGTAACAATAGTAGAGAGCGTATAGGAAAAGTAGTCGCTCTAGTATAGGAAAATAGGGCATCTAATTGAGTAAAATTGATTCAACCAGGCATTATTTAGATAGAAGACACATCGCTCTGAACAAGCAATAGACGTAGGACTCTCTGGTCCATCATCTAAAGTTTTGATGAGGCCGAAAAGTGCCTTGCGTTACTGTGGGACGTGGTAACAATATCGGAACATGCTGGGGCATACCAGACACAGCAAAAAGCAAGCAGACGTGCTGTAGACATTGCAGCTTACGATGTTGAACTCGATTCACTTTCCCAGCATGCTCCTGCTTAAGCGCACTATGCCCCTCGACGTAGCAAACACTGCTCCCCTGTCTTTAGACCATCAAACAGACAATGGAAATACGACAGGCGGATGAGGTATCCACCTTTCAACGGCATCAGGAGCAGACCTCCCGTATACATCCGTATCATGTAGTGAAGACAGAGAACCCATATCAAAGTGCCTAGAACATGACAAGAGAATTACTTGTACGAAGACGTGAGTGGAAAATTGCCGGGCTAGGCAATCGTAGCTGCACAAGACAACGTGCAGCACGGAGCAACAGCTTAGCTTGTCCTGCCTTATTCAGGGCCACCTTTAGTTCAACTAATCCCCATCGCAAGATGTCAGCTCAGGAAAAGGACTTTGATAAAGTGCCCCTCGCACGGGCAGGATTGCGCCACCTCGTCAGGAAGGAAACTCCTTTGGATTTCGTTGCAGGCACGGGATAAGGGTACGCGGGGCAGGAACCACAACAAAGATAAGAGAGAGAGGGGGTGAGGGATACTAGAGGCGGCGACAAAGATGAGCAGAGTTAGGAGTGAGGGCTGAAGACGAGTGGTATCGAGGTGGTGGTGCGGGTGGTACAGTCTGTTTCAGTAATCATGAAAAATGGTGTTGTTTCGTTTATCGAGAATCAGACATTGTCCAGATTGCCTTTTCACCCTTCGTAAAAGTGAAATGTGATGCCACGGAGAACATCGCCACATCATTGTTTTAGGTATGCCCCCGGTAGAACATATCAAGTACAAACGAGAGGAGGAGACAAGACAAGAGAGGGCAGAGGGGATGGGTTTAGGAAGGTGCCGTAGAGTTGGCGGCAAAGTCCTCTCGTGTTGTCGTAAAATTGTAACTTCCACTTGCATCGGCGACCGAATATCAATTGGGTCCGCCATCGTAGGAGATGCAATGCCGCAAAGAGCGTTGCGATGGGTACGATCCCATGCCATGAGGGCGTACCGGCTCGGCGCGGAACCAGCATCAGCTCTTTACCGACAGAGCACGCGGCGGAGGACGAGACGGAGGTGGTGCTGGAAAAAGAGGAAGCGGGATCTGCGTCAGACACGATCATAATAACGACGAAGACGGCGACGAGGGTAAGGTAGAATGAGCATAAATCTACATGAGAAGTTGTCGCTCACACAGGGAGAATAGGGTAGGTAGGGTAGTCTCTTTACCCCACCCTTGCCAAGGTAACATGCGGAACCCATTATGTGCAGAGAGAATAACAAACCAGATCCCATTGTAAATGCTCCAAACCAAGTTGGATTGATTGATGGGTCGGAGGTGCAGCTGCCCAGTGGCCTTCAAGGCTATGAACGCAGGGGTTGTTTTGGTGATCAACAAGAGGAGTGAAGAACGACCAAAGCTGGGATACGATGCATAATGGGGGCTGATGACAGTTGAAGAGCAACAAATGGGCGAAAGTAAACATGACAACACATCGCGCTGAACAGCCCAACATTTGCATAATCAAGGAGTGTTGTATTGTTGTTGCTGTTGTTGTTGGCCCCATTACCCGAACACTGGCGTCAAACCCCCAATTTCCCGGCCGGCAACTGACAACCACGGTTCAATTCACCTGTCGTCGCCGTTGTCGTCGTCGTCGCCAGATCCGCCAGGGATGATGCCTCTCGGCGCTATGACATCCAAGAACCAGGACGGACCTGCATGGGGTGAGACCACAGCGTCGAATCACACAAGCGGGGGGATCAGGCCCAGCTCCACAAGGTGCAGTCCGTCCCGGCGGCCGTGAGGTAGGCGCGGGGCGGACGAAGGACCGTACATACAGCGGCTATCTCCAAGACACACAATGCGGGCTCTCGGTGTGCGGAACGAACTGTCGTCGTCGAGAGCCTTGGTGTGTGCAAAGAAAAGCTGGGGTCCGCAGCGGTGTTGAGCGGGTGGTTGGGGGCGCTAACTACGGCGCTGTGCTGCATGCTGCACCCAGCGGTAAGAAGGTACCATTTTCGGCTCGACGGGTCGGAGGGTCGGAGGGGTACCTAGTGCAGTGTGTGGTCTGGGACGTGGACTGGGACAAACTGAAGGTGGACCCTCTTTCTCAGCTCGACGCCATCTGGGACGGACATGGCGTTCCATCTACCGTACGGACTGTGCTAGTGCAGTAACAGGGCCGCCAGAGGGGACCGGTCGAGTCAGCCCGTTCGAAGGGATGCCCGTTTCATCACAGCTTTTTTTTTTTTTTTTTTTTTGGCAGTTGATCTCGACTCGACCTGGATGCACTTTTTTTTTTGGGGGGGGGGGGTTTCCTACTGTGCTGCAAAGGGCACGTTTGTGCATGCGGAAAGGGAAGGGTGCGAAAGCGTCACACCAACACACCCGGCAAGTCAGGCTGCGTACTTTGTATGTACAACTCGGAGGGGATCGGCAGCGACTGACCTCCGACGGAACCCGTGGGACCCCTTGTGCAGCCGATTCGTGCCACCTTTGCCTCCCGAACTCTCGTAATCCGGGAGGAAGGGATCATGCTTGATGGCCCGGTCTGCGTCCTATCTCATCGCAGGAGCACAAGTCCCGGATTGTGGGGCACAGTGGTGACGGAACCTAATGCCATGAATAGTGTCCTGGTGACTCTATTGTGACTATGTAAAGTTGGTGGGAATCAAGTAAAACAGGCCCGAGGAAACCGCAGTAAGCAAACGAGGAAAAAAGGGTACACGACCGAATGAGAGAAGAGGGTATGTGCTGTGAAAACCGAACGAAACGAACGCCGCAATCCAATCGAGAAAAAGAGTCCAAGATAAAGGCGGCAACAAACAAATAAGAAAGATTGCTCTCAATGAAACCCGTCTCGCCGCAGTATTCCCAACTCCTCCGATGACCCCCCTTAGCCCAGGTAGCATTGGAAAGGAAGAAAGGAAAGGGGGGAAAAGATGCGTGCCCCTCGTCCCTTCAGACCGACGGGTAAGAAATGCGAGATGTGCTGTTACTCCCACCCAGGCTCATGTCCTTGTGTTCGTCCCCAAGCCCCGACATGGCCTTATCCGCTGCCAAAGTGCGTAAATAATTGTCGAAAGGGTGTTAGGTCGTATCCGGACGCCGTAGTATAGAAACAAAAGGGGTTTCTTGTGAGAATTCATCGGTCTAAAAACACTCTGGACGTTGTTGTTCGTGTGGTCTCGTCATGGTGGACCCCGCAGGAGCACCGTTATTGGGGGAACATGTTGTTGATCTCCTCGTCGCTCAGAACAATCTCGTGTACCGGCTCCCGTCGGTTTTCGAGGGGGACGTAGTCGCAGTCGACGTAGGAAGGCAGGAAGATTTCCGGGTTCCATGCGAAGCCTTGGCTGGAGGAGAGGTAGGAGATCTGCGGAGTCATGTTAGTCGGTGCCCACATGTCCCAAAGGGCGGAGTGGTGTTACCAGGCGGGGAGTGCCGTTGGGCTCGCCAATATTGATGACGGTGCTTTCTTGCTTCGACAACGCCGTGCCTGGTTCTCGAAGTCAGTAAAGGTTCACGGGTGTAGTCCAGCCGCCCGGAGCAGAGCAAGCCGGCATGGCCCGGGCCTCGGAGCCCAACTCGTGGTGGGATGACATACTGAGCAGGCTGGGCCGACGCTGGTGGATCGACTTCTGCGCGGAAGCGGAAGGCGGGGAAGACGTCCGCGGGGAGCTGGAGTAGGTTGAAGAGGAAGAGCTGGTTGCACCCCGGCCTTGGGAGGACTGGTGGTGGTGGTGACCGTAGATGGCCGACGACGGGGTCATCGGGATCGCAATCGACGACGACATGGTGGTCGGGCGTTGAGGTATTGGAGGGGGAGAGTAGAGGACGCCAACGTGAGACGATAAACCCCAAGAATGATTGGAAGCGGTCTAAACGATAGAGAGACGAAAAGAAGCACACCGGACGGCTCGTTGGTGGAGGAAAACCAGCTTGTTTCGGCTGGGGAGTCGAGAAGTTGAAGAAGGCAAGGAGAATTAAAGGTACAAGACCGAAGAGAAGTGTGCCTGTGACTGCGTAGAGTGACTGATACAGTGTACAGTGCTAGGTTGACTGCTGGGACGAGGCAGGCCTAACGAGGCATCCGGTGAATCACGCCCACATCATCCCATACAGTTGACCTTGGGGTCTGATAAGAGATAGGTGCCGGCACTGGAGGGACTGCTAAGACGGGGTATGAGCTGCCGCGGGGACCTGCTAACAGTGGATAGCGGGAGAGACCCTCACATCATCATGGCAGGGATGCTGGCAGTCGCTCCCCACTGTACATGGGGGGAAGGCGGCCCCCACTCGCACCAATCGGAGGCCGTCGCTGCCTACAAGCTGGGTAACGTGCAGGCACTTCGCCCTGCTCCATGCCGTCCTCTCGACCAATCACCTGCTGGTGGGACTTTGAGGTCACGTGTCAGAGACCAAGCTTCGACGAGATTCCTGACTAAGCCGGGCTGAAAGGCTGCTGGCTGCATGCGTATCCATTGACGCCTACAAGCCAAGCTACCTAGAGCAAGCAAGCAGCACCACACCCAAGCTCTGTGAACAACAACTCTCCCATCACCAGCAGCACCTCGCCATCCTCAAGACCTCACTTTCGACACGCTCCGTCAAGGCATTCGAGTCTGCTCCTTCTCAAACCAACGCTCGTGAAACCCCTCCTCCCCGACAAAATGGGTGACGTTTTGGTGGAAAACCCGGCCAACCACTTCGTTTCTCAGAAGAAGACGGCGCCCTCAACAATCCCTAGTATTGAGAACTTCGAGGGCATCTCTTCGGAAGGAGGCGACGACTATGCCACACTCAAGAAGCTGCAGAGGCAACTGGAGTACATCCAGCTCCAGGAGGAATACATCAAGGATGAGCAAAGGTTCGAATTGCCGCTTCGTCACCACAGCTCGCCGGTTTGCTGACACGCCGCCACAGGAGTCTGAAGCGTGAGCTCGTCCGAGCTCAGGAGGAGATCAAGCGTATCCAAAGTGTGCCCCTCGTCATTGGGCAGTTTATGGAGGCTATCGACCAGAAGTAAGTTGACCCCGCGGCACAACTCAGCGCCGTCGAAGCTGCAGACACCTAACGACCGCCAACAGCACCGGAATCGTCCAATCATCGACCGGTTCGAACTACGTCGTCCGCATCCTCTCTACCCTCGACCGCGAGAAGCTCAAGCCCTCCTCCTCCGTCGCCCTCCACCGCCACTCCAATGCCCTCGTCGATATCCTCCCTCCCGAAGCCGACTCCTCCATTGCCATGCTGGGCGCGGACGAGAAGCCTGACGTGACATATGCCGATGTTGGTGGCCTGGATATGCAGAAGCAGGAGATTCGCGAGGCGGTTGAGCTGCCTCTGACGCACTTCGACCTGTACAAGCAGATCGGTATCGACCCCCCTCGTGGTGTCCTGCTGTACGGTCCTCCCGGAACCGGAAAGACCATGTTGGTCAAGGCCGTCGCCAACTCCACAACTGCCAACTTCATCCGTGTCGTCGGTTCAGAATTCGTGCAGAAGTACCTTGGTGAGGGTCCTCGTATGGTTCGTGACGTCTTCCGCATGGCTCGCGAGAACGCCCCGGCCATCATCTTCATCGACGAGATCGACGCCATTGCGACGAAGCGTTTCGACGCGCAGACCGGTGCCGATCGTGAGGTCCAGCGTATTCTCCTCGAATTGCTCAACCAGATGGACGGTTTCGACCAGACCGCCAACGTCAAGGTCATCATGGCCACCAACCGTGCCGACACCCTCGACCCCGCCCTGCTGCGTCCCGGTCGCCTCGACAGAAAGATCGAATTCCCCAGTCTCCGTGATCGCCGCGAGCGCCGACTCATCTTCTCCACCATTGCCAGCAAGATGTCTCTGGCCCCCGAGGTCGACCTCGACTCCTTGATCGTGCGCAACGACCCTCTGAGCGGTGCCGTTATCGCCGCCATCATGCAGGAGGCCGGTCTCCGCGCCGTGAGGAAGAACCGTTACAACATCATCCAGAGCGACTTGGAGGATGCCTACTCAAGCCAGGTCAAGGGCACGAGCGACGAGAACAAGTTCGATTTCTACAAATAAACGACGAGCTACGAACGGAAGGGCACGGACAAGTCGAAGGCGGAGGAGGGAGGGGTCGAAATACTCGCTGCAAGGTTGGCGATGTAATGGGACGGACATGGCCGGAAGGCAGCGGGCAGGGATAGACTTCCTTATTATCAACGGCTTCGGGGGAGCGAAGCCCGGCGTCGCGTTGTACAATATTCTTGATAAACAAGCTTCGTTGGTACCTGCTAGCCACGCGACGGTGTTGCCGAGTGATTACATACGTGACATGCCATTCATATCCTGGTCGAGCCCTCTCAAGTAAATCCGCATTTGAAGATGCAATACAATCCCATGACCAGGAATTTCCGACCGAGAAAGTAGCACCATCAATCCTTGACGTCCAAAAGTGTCGAGAATTGGGTTCACAAGCCGAGAATCAACCGCTTCTCAAAACCTGGCGTCGACGTCCCGGCCGAGTCCGGAACAAGCCGAGTTCGACCCTGGGTAAAGGCCTGAAACTCGGTTTCTTCCGATGGTTCAAGGTCCAAGTTCCCCCGATTCTTCTCTCTTTCATCAGTTGTCAAGTTTTTGGGGGGTGATCAAACAGGAGGGCGCTCGACGAAATTCCACCCTCCGAATTCCGTTACCATGCCGTTGGATCGGTCTCAAAGTGTTCTTCACATGTGCATTAGTGACAAAATGTTGCCAAAAAGTTCCAAGGGCACAATCATGTAATGTAATCTCCAAGTATTGTTTGCTCAGCACGAAAACGTTTTTTTCATTTTCAGGATCCGATCCCAGTGTCTAAAAGAAGAAGAAGAAAGAAGCTACTTTTTTTCTTTTCCCTGCCATCATCCGGTTGTCGTTTCCGCCGTTTCCCCTGATTTTGATTTTTTCCTCTCCTTTTTGTTTTCCGTACCGTGGCTCAAAGGCCGTGTTTGTGTATCTTGTCTCTCTGTGTCTTTTGTCTAACAACAAATAAAGACAACGCTGCCATGAAAGAAAAAAAACAAGCAAGAAAGGAAGCCGTGAATCGTAACGTGGATCCCTGTCGTCAATAAAAACCTGCCGCCGCCGCCCGTAATCTATCAAAAATGGAACCCTTCCCTGCCTGCTTTGACTCGTCGCAAAACGCTTCAAGAAGCTTCAACATGTAAAACAGACTCCACAGATGCTAAACCGTCGCTGATGCAAAAGCCGTGATGCAATACGGGGATGGGATGCGTCAACGCTGAGATGCCGCAATTCCTCATCGCCAAAGGTGGTTGGTTGTGTGGTTGGGTATATCCTTCTTCCCCGTGCAAAGTCTCTGTCTCTCCTCCTCCCCCGACTCCTCCTGTCCGTTCCGAGCAGTGGGCAGAGTGATTAGGTATTATCATTACCCATTACTGCTTTTCGTGTAATAGTACCCACGACCTGTTGCGTAGATGCAAAGGCCTTCTCTGGGATTTGCCTGTGTATGGACAGGTGAACGTGGCGGCATCTCTCTGCCTGGGTATCTCTTCTTCGATCGTCTCTCGGGTCCCTGAGATCATGGCTTGAGCCATGTCTGGTTTCGTAACGTATATTGCTGCCACTGTAGAGGCAACTAGGAGCTGAGGATAACGCCAAGCTCCAGCATCATCTTCACGAACTTGGCGTGCAGCTCGATAAAGAAGTCCGGCATGCCAACAAGCTCTGCCAGGCCTCTCGCTTTGAGGGAAACACCGCCGGGCCCGCCGCCCATGCGTCTGGTGAAGCCGCCACCTCCAGTCAGAAAGCTGCTGCCACCGCGGTCGGGTCCCTCCCTCTCGTGGATATTCATCATGGGATACGGGTTGTGGTGCTGAAGACCTCCAATGGGGCTGGACTCGGCTATCCTCTCGGCCTCCGCCTCAGCAAGCTTCTGGATCCATTCTGCCAGGCCTGCGAAAGCGGTTGCCATGAAGCCGAACGTCTTCATGGCGAGCCGCTCCTTATGCGTGCTGAGAGCCAGAAATGCGTAGACGCGCTTGTGACCGCGGGCATGCATGTCGGAAATGCGGAAGATGTACGCCGTCGTGTAGCCGTTGACTGGGTCACCAAAGAAGATTGGCCCGCCAGACGCGGCAGCTCCGGCACTTTGCGTGGTTACGAAGGGCGTGGAGCTCGACTGTGGCGAGGCGCTCGGCGTCGGGTTCGCGGGAGAACGGGGGAGGGTCTCGAGGGAGAGTGTCCGCAGGCAGGAGGATCGCACGATCGAGAATGACGTTGGTATTAACGGCTCATGGGTGGAGGTGTAGTCGAGGTAGTGGGTGTGACTGGCATGCCTTCCCGAAGACATGCTGGATCTTGTCGTTGTCGAACCAGTGGCTCTTCGGTGCATTCGCTCGGGACGTCCCTCACTGTCGGTGTCGCTGGCAGAGGACCCTTGTGAAGTCGGTGGCGACGCCTGGCCGTAGACTCTGGCGTACGGCGCGCGAGTGCGCAGTGTCGGGCCGCGCTCTGCTTTTAAATCATTCTTGTCCTTGCCACCTTGCCGCTGCGGTAGCGTGAGCGCGCAGTTTTCGCAAGGGCCGGCGCGCTTGGTAACGTTGTCGTCGTAGGTTCTGCGGAAACTCGAGTCTCGTCGCGGCTGCTGTTGCTCCGATATCCGGCGGGGGCTTTCGGGTGGGGTTTCGATGGCGGAGGGCGACAGAGGCGAGGCCGGGGAGGCGTTGGCGGATGCGCGCAGCAAGGCGGCGCGCTGGGTCTGGGCCTCGATTTCCGAGGCGGGTAATGACGAGCCGCGGGGGGCATTGAGGTGCATCTTGCGCAGAGCATCTGACATGGCGACGGTCTGGTTCAGCGAGGCGGCCGACGTTGGCGCGCTTGTCTGGGGTCGGATCTGGTCCTGATCGGCGTAGTTGGCGGCGCCGTCATCGAAGCATGTGGTGCACGGAACGGGCAGGCCCTCGGTGACCATTAGCGGGGTCGGGCCATGTTGGTCACAGTAGTGAGCGAGGCATAGCTGGATGCCGGTCATTAGCGACAACGAGTTCGGTTGTGGTTGATGCATCGTTTCAGCGTGTTCGCGAGGTGAAGCGAGTGTGTCCTCGAACGACGGGACACGCATCGTGAGGGATGCAGCGGCCTCGTGTTATGAAAATAGGGAGAAAGACGCTGCTAGCCAGAAAAGTCTGGCGGCTCGAAAGAGAGAGAGGGCAAGAAGGGGGAGCTCAAAGGACGAGGGCAGCCATGGTGAAGATGCTCGGAGCTATGAGGTTGTAGGCGCAGCTTATACAAGATTTAGTTCGGAGTAGGTACGGGGAAAGAGCACGATGCTGGGAGGGCGAGTGCGAGTCGTGGCATGCGACCGTGGGTAGAGTGATATGTGTAAGAGACAAGGTTCGACGAGAAGGCGGCAGGAGGCCATGGCGGCGCAGTCTCCCTTTCTTATGGGAAACTCTGAAAGGGGTCTGGGTGTGAAGGAGAAAAATGTGGGAGGACGAGAGGATGAGATGGGAAACACAAGAAAGTTGCGTCTGCGTAAGGCAAGAACAGAACCGCAGCCCAAGGGGGTGGGCTAATTAGGGGACGGGCATTTCGAACATGGGAGGGCATAGACAAGGACACCGGACAGGACAGGCATGGGAGCAGAGCAGAGCAGATAGGACGACTTCGATGAGGAAGTTGGGCAAGGTGAGGCCGGTTGCAACAGGCCGGGCCCCGGTCGTGGGGTGGGAGGGGGGATGGCTTCCTGATTGCCGGTGTCTCGTGTCTGGCTCTTGTCTGAGTGTCTGGGAGGACGGGGAAGACGGAGAGGATGGGGATGTGCACTGATATGCGGGAAGCGGTGAGGCGGTGAGCGAGCGGCTCTCGTCGTGTCTGCCACTTACACGACGGACGGGAGGCTTTGGTGACGGCCGGGGACAGCAGTGCTGCAATCGAGATTGGCTGCACGAGGCAAAGTAACTTGGAAGCTTGCAACTTTGCAGCCCGAGATGAGATGCAACGGCAGCGTGACGGCAGCAGGGCCAAGCAGAAGCAGGCCAGGCGCAATGCGGCGCGGTGCGGGTGCGGGTGCAGTGACAGCAGAGACAGCGACAGTGACAGACAAGACAACATAAGACAAGACAGACGGTTGAGGGAGGAATAAGCAAAGGTAGGTAGGTAGTAAACGGAAAACAAACATAATACTCACAATGAATGCCATGACGTATCACCCTCCCCAGCCGAATCCGGGTGTTGCTGGTGTTTGTTTCGCCAATGACGAGAAGAGCGCAATCAAGCCAGACACCTGAAGGGGGGGAAGAGAAAAGAAAGACTGGCTGTCTGTCTGTTTCTGGTGGTAGACAGCTGCAAGGGTGTGTTTGCGCCTGCAAGTTGTTTTTCTGCGACTCGGATTTGCGGGACGACAGCCCAAAGACGACGGAGGCGAAGTCGAAAAGGCGAAGGTCAGGTCGGAGGTGAGAAAACAAAATAGAAAAAAAAAGAGATTAAAGTGGTGATGGGTGAAGTGTATGGATGCGATGGCAATAATAAGAGCTCTCCTCCTTTCCGTCTCCGAGTGTGTGTGTGTGTGTGCGGTTTTTGGTGTGCGGGTGCGCGTGTGAGTGACGGCGAGAGTGGTAATTTGCGAGCGAGAAGGGTAAAAGAGTAAGAGAGTATCGGCAAGTTCGAGTAAGTGGGCGTGGACGAATAAGTGGGTGTGGTGCGGATGCAGTGCAGCAGTGCAGCAGCAGCAGCAGCAGCAGCAGCAACCAAGTCAAGTGCGATGCGAGGCCGCGGACGACGAACGAAGACGAGGACGAGGATGAGGATGATGATGGGTAGGGTAGGCAAGGCAAGGTAATGGGTGAGTGATGATGAGTGACGGCGGACGAGCGAGTTGGCTGCCGCGAACGCTAAGAAACCGCAGGCCGCACTAAGCAGCAACGATGGGCGGGGATCCCGGAAGGTGCAGGTTCGTGTCGTATGAGGAGCGTGGGAAGTCCCGGCCGCATGCGACGAGGCGATTCGATTCGATGCTGATGGACCGGCCGGCTTGGGATGGGATGGCTGGTCTGGTTGGTTGGCGGGTGAAGCTCGTAACT